TGTGAGCAGCATGCAGGCAGGCACAGAGGCCTGCTTCATCAGCTCCACGATGATACTAGCTTCCACACCATCCGACTGCCAGTGGGTCAGCTTGATGGGCCCGTCATCGTATCTGTCCGTCATGAACAGTATCTTGCTCTTCGCCACTGTGTCAAAGATGGCAGAGAGCTTGGAAGTGTCCTCTGCCTTGGGGTCAGCGGGGGTGGCAGTGCCCAAAGGGGGATGTAGATGGGAAAGCATGACTTTACGCTGGTCGTAGTATACTAAGATGATTTCTTCCTCCTTAGGGTTGTTAGAGTGTTTCTGAAGTGTAGAACAGCTCCAGAATTTGCTGTCTCCCTCTTTGCTTATCTGAATCCATGGCTCGTGGGAGAATATTGTCCCAAGGTCTTCCAAGAACTCAGTCAGATTCTCTTCTTTCTCCTGTTTGCTGTTGCTCCACGAGCCGAGCACAGAAACACTGACTTTACTCACCCGTTGGACTTCACTGAGGTACTGCTTCACCTGGACAGGGATGAAAGGGAAGTGGACCACGGCCAGGATAACAGCAGAGTTCTGTTCGGAGATCCAGCGCCCGATCAAAATGCCACTCTCTGCCGAGGAGCAGCATGATGGAAAGAAGACCTTAAGTACCATGGCACCGATTCTGGCAGAACGGTACACCTGCCAATAAGGAGAGAAAGAAAATGTGAGAATGGCGACTAAATGCAAGGAAAATTTAAGCTGACCAAAGTCTCTGGTGAGGAGGTCTAATTAAAAACACAAAGTCCAACCACTTGCATAATGACACTAATGACAGCTGAAAGATACAGACACATCAGAGAAGCGTTTAGGAGGTTCCTGATAATCTGCAGTCTTTGAAGTGAGGGGTGGTGAGCCTGGAGTTTCTCAGCAAAGCCCTTCTCTGAGTCCTGGAGCAGTCTTTCACGATGGCACGCTGATAAGCACAGCCCGTCAGACCAGCCAAGATCAGGAATCCATCCAGCCTCAGATCTTGGATCTGGCACTGGATGCACTTGAGCACTTGCTGGAGAAGGGACTACACCGTAGCACACTGTGATGCCTTTGGGGAATATTTCCTCCTATTACTGACAATCAAATATTGGATTATGCTATAAAGCAAGATGATTTCAGAGCCTCCTTTATCATCTAGGAACCCAGAGCTGTGCTCTGCAACAAACTCACTGAGCAACCTCGGTCAGAACATGCATCTCCTCTTGTCCCACTCCCCTCATCTGGAAACAGAGATGATAATTTTGTCAGAAGGGACTGTAGTGATTAACTGACTGGAGTTTACGCAACAGCTTTAATTCACTAGACACAAGATCATAAGAAAGAAGCATCTCTGCTTTATCAACGTCCTTTATCTACAATAGTTTTCTTAACAAGATGAAGGAAAAATCTCAACGGCTTTGTAAGACTTTTACGAAGGTGACTTTTGAGGCAGTTGACAATGTCTCTTTAAATAAGGTGGAGGTTTCTAACAGAAATATAATTGCAGTAAGGAGGGCGCTGGCGCAGAACAGTCGGCATCCGGCACCCGGTGTCCTTTCCTGTCCTTCAGTGCTTTGTTAGAGATGCAAAAACTCCGCAGGCCCCCGAGGCTGGTTCCTCTGCGAGGGACCCAGTCAATTGGAAAGAAGAACACTGAGTGTATTTAGAACACGTAGAGAGGATGCACAACGTGGAGGTCCCTGTGGTTTTGTTTTTCTCTCTTTTTAATACAAGACAATCGATCTAGTAAATCTCAGCACCTGGTAATTAGCTACGGCACGGAGGAGGTGATGGGGCAGCAGCAAAGGCGAGTGATTACCCAGCTCCCAGCCCCGCCGCCCTGCCAAGCGCGGCAGTAGGACATGTCTGCTCACGGGTCAGTTCCCAGCCCCTCCAGTCAGCAAGGTGAAGTTTCCTCAGCACACAGCTCGTTCCTCCGACAGGAAAAGCATCACAGTCGCTGCATTTGCAAGGACTAATTTTTTTTACCCTGGGACTGAATTTCTCCTTTTAGGGCCAAACCGCGAAGCACACCCCAAGGCTTCCCCTCAAACAGGCGTAAGGGTGCTCGTGAGGGATTTTCTTGGCAGCATCCTGCTGGAAGCAGACAGTGTTTGCGGGTGCTGAGGACACTGAGCACCATCCGTTCCTCCTGGAAGCAGACAGTGTTTGCAGGTGCTGAGGACACTGAGCACCATCCGTTCCTCCTGGAAGCAGACAGTGTTTGCAGGTGCTGAGGGCACTGAGCACCATCCATCCCTCACTGCCCCACAGACCCTCCAGCCCACAGTGAGATTTGGAGGCCACACTGAGACTCCCATCTCTACTTCCTTGACCAGATCTCACAGATAGAGTCTGTGAGGAAGTAGGATCTCAGAAGAACCTCAAATACAAATGTTTTTCCAAAGGACTGCAAGATTCCAGCAGAAGGAGAAGGGAAGCAGGCAGATGTATCAAAGGAAGGGTAGGAAAATGGCCCGTGTCACACCCTGAGACTGTACGGGTACAGGACACCAGGCGTGGGAAAGACCAAAGACTTGCAGTCTTTCACCAGACAAAGTTTAATGACTATTGCACCCAAATGGACTGAAAAACAAAACATCCAAGCTTATTTTTCACTTCTATTGCAACAGCTAAGGCTCAGGTATTTTTTGTTGTTGTTTTTTTCCTGGAAGATCACAAAGACACATATCCTGTCTAAATGAGTTGTTCCTGACACACATAGGAAGCTTGGGTGGAAATCGGCTAACAGACACAAGGAATTTTAGATTAGTCCTTTAAAAAGTTTGAAATAAAACCTGTCCCCTACATTTGGCTTTTCTTTCTTTTAGAAAGACCGTGATTTGTCCAAGACACTGGCCAAAATAGTCTTCCCTTCACCGCCTCTCCTACCTCCTTGCCTAACTCAGATTGTTAAAGAAACATCATCAGGTGAGACGAGATTTGCTTCACAATTTAGCTTTAGGTTTGAAAAAGGATTGTCATTCGTTTTCCCCCAAGACCCACAGACACACTCCCAGGAAAAATGAAGTAAATTATATAAATACAGGGGCTATGAAAGGCAAAATAACAGACTGAACATGTTGGGAATGTACATATACGCATATGTTCAAAAATTATTTAAAATAAAAAAAGGAGTGATAACATTCTAGCTACATTGCAGTACCAAAACCTTACAAGTAAAGCTTACCAATAACTTAATACTCTAAAAAGTGAAACTGAGCTCAATTTTTTAAAGAACACAGAGAAAAATAAAAGAAATAAGTACTTGAATGGGGTTTTTCAGTATTTCTATTTTAATTACCAAAGCTACCGCCAGTAATATTGGACAGATAACTTTCTAAAGCTGATTTTTTATTCTTTTTCCTCAAGAGATGTCACAGTTGTTTGAGAGTATCGCTACCAGAGACTTCCAGTGTCTCTGCACGGCTGTCCCTCTTAAAGGTCTGTCCATCCATCAGGCATTTCAGAGAATTATCAACTGCCTCTTAACTCAAACATTTATTTTTCACTGAGATTTTTTTTTTTTAAAGATAGCCACAGTCATGTGGGAAAGCTTCTCAGGGAGAAGAAACACTTCTCATCCTTATCTTCTCTAGTTTGTGAGTTTTCCCTCATACCTCCTCCATTCTTTAACTTAGTTTTTTGCAGCTACTGCACTGGCTGTAGCTCAGGTTAAATAATACCCAAATACATCATCTGTCCTTTGGCTGCTGCAGATATGGCAGAGAAGGCTCCGATACAATTTTCAGGGTGTACAAAATATCTTAATAGTTGAAAAACAGCTGATCAACTATTCATCTATTAATGTAGCACACAGTAGTAACCAGGGAGCTGGCCTGGGAGCTCAGGATTCCCAAATCCCTGACTGGTCATCCATCCTACTTTATTCATTTCAATAGACTGTCTGAAATCTGAAGTTGACATTTTAAATGTCTTCACAGTCAACTGTTTCACTGCAGTTCATTTTAACAGATATACCCTACCAATATGCTTACTCTGTGCTTGTTAAGTGCCTCAAGTCTTCCAGATCTGCCCGTTTCTGCTGGGAAGCCACAGTTTCCCTCCCACCAAATGCCACAGAGCATCAACACAATGACCTTGGGCACAGCAAACCAACAACAGACATTGCCCAAAACGCATTAATGCAACCAAGAAATGAAGAAAGGACCTCGGGACCGATTCATTTCAGAATTTTGGACAGAAAAGCAA